AGGGTGTGGGGTTGATCAGAGGGTTTCCTGCTCTCAGCGATTCCAACGAAGTCCCGAAGAGAAGAAAACAGAGCACAAGGGTAAAAGGGCAAGCCACTGTTCATAATCCTTCAGAAGGAAGAGAACAACCATTTAAAGGGGGGTAAAAACGTCATTTTACTGTTACCATGAACTTAGCTCGTTTCTATCTATTGTGAGAGAGGTTTCTGCAAAACTTGGTACTCTGGTTCATCTACAAAGACTTCTTCTTTCCCCAATCTTAAAGGAAAATATTATCCAAGTTACAGATGAACGATCAGGAATCTCTTTCACAAAAAAATGTTTATGCAGTAAAAAGGTTCTTATCATCCTTGATGATGTGGATAAGTTAAAACAACTTGAAACACTGGTTGGAGAGTTTGGTTTGGTCTACTAGTTGAACATGGTATAACGAAACCATATGAGGTCAAGGTATTAAATGATGATGAAGCTCTTGAGCTCTTCAGTCAAAACGCCTACAGGAAAAGTCAGCTTGGGAAGGTTTCCAGGAATTGTCTCTTAAGTGTTTCCTACATTATGCCAAAGGCCTTCCATTAGCTCTTAAAACTTTGGGACACATGGAATAGTGCTGTATAATCTAAAGCAAAATCATGATCCAGAAATTTTTGATTCACTCAAAGTAAGTTATTAGGGACTAAAAGAGATGGAGAAGAAATTTTTTCTCCATGTTGCATGTTTCCATAAAGGCAAGTATAAAGAGGATGTAATTGAAATACTAGACAAGAACCATGACATTTCTAGTCGCATTGTGATAGATATTCTTAGTGAGAAATCTCTCTTAACTATTGAGAAAAACTATTTTCGCACTCTGTGGCTGCTCAAAAGTGAAAAAGCTTCCAGAATTTGAGGAACATATGAAAAATTTGTTCAAGCTCATTTTAAAAGGTACTGCTGTTGAGAAAATTCCTTCATCAATTGAAGGTCTGGTTGGCCTCGCTGTGGAGGGTATGTACAGTCACAAAAGTCTCTCGGGTTTGAGTGTTTAGAGGAGCTTGAATTAAGTGAAAGTGCTATGAGAGAGCTGCATGCTGTTATGAAACATCACAAATATCTATTAGGGGTGGGCATTCAAACCGGCAAACCGGAAATCCGAGCCGAACCGCACCGGAAAAAACCGGAAAAAAACCGAGTTGACTAAAAAGTCAACAACCAGTCAAAAAACCAAACCGGACCGGTTTGGACCGATTCCGGTTCTGGTTCCATATCTTCAAAAACTGGACCGGGCCGAACCGGACCGGTCAGATTAAAATATATAAAATTTAAATATATAATTATATATTTTTAAACCTCTCCATACCAAGCCCAACTTCAAAAATAAAAATAAATAGATAAGCCCAACTCCATTTTTTAACCATCTCACCAGGCCCAACTCTATTTCTTAACCAAGCCCAACTCTTTATATTCAGTTTTACCACCCTCCCTCAACAATTTCTCATACCCTAGCCGTCCCCTCCATCATCTCTTTCCAAAAGTTTTTTTTTCTTCTTATTCTTCTTCTTCTCTCCTCTGCCAGACTTCTCCTCTTTGTATTTTTTTTCCTTTCTTCTTCTTCTTCTTCTTCTTCTTTTCTCTCCTCTCTCTCTGCTGCCCACTTTTCTTCTTCCTTTTTTCCTTTCTTTTTTCTTCTTCTTCTTTTCTCTCCCCTGGCTGCGACTTTTCTTCTCTCTTTTTTCTTTCTTTCTTCTTTTCTTCTCCTTTTTTTCCTTTTTTCTCTCCTCTATGATGCCGACCTTGTATTTTCCTCACCCCCTCTTGCTGCCGCAGCACATTCCCTGTACCTCCATCGCATTCCACTGGCTCCAGCCCCCGCATGCATTCGAGCCCAGCTACCTGCACGAGCATTAGATCTGGTGTTGTTTTTTTTAATTTTTTTTTTTGTGGTTTCATTAGATCTGGTGTTGTATTCTTTTTTTTTTTCCTTATTGTCTACTGTATATGTGACTTGCTAGAGAACCGGTTCAAATCGGAAAACCGGACCGGAAATTACCAGTTCGGCTTGATTCGGTTTTTCTTTTATTTTTTTCAAAAACCGGACCGGACCGGACCGGATGAACAGTACCGGTTCCGGTGTGAGCTGTGAACCGGACCAAACCGGACCGCGCCCACCCCTAATATCTATCCTTTTGTGGATCATCAACTTCAAGGGATTCTTTGGTGAGTTTTTAGAGGAATGTTAAGGTCTTGACATTGTCGATTTTGAAGTCATCGATGCTTTGGGTCCAAAGGGTGTTCTCATTAACATTGGAAGAGGTCCTCATGGTGATGAACCTGCTGGATGGCCAGTTAGGTGGGAATATTCTTCTAAACAAAGAGTTGGGAACTTGCTTGGAAGTTGATTACACTTTGGTATTGGACGTATTCAGCTCTTTCTTGGGGAATTCCTCAATTCTTCAGTTTCTTGCCTGTCTTTTAGTTCTCTTGTTGAGAGATTCATTGGTTTTATTATTTTATGACTTGTGCTATGGTGATCATCGCGAAATTTGGCTGAGCAAGATTATTTTAATAGCCATCTAACTTATATCCGGCTCAATTCATTATTGCATATGCAATTAGATTCCAATTGAAACAGTGTGCCGTTTTCTTTGGTTAACACACCACCATGCGACATAGTTTCCATCTCTCTTTGTCCTTCTCTCTCCCTCTTCCATTATTTCCCCTCTGTTTTTCATCTATTCCTACAACTTTCATATTGAGTATTTTCTGAGAGTTTGCGGAACCAGATTTCTCTTTCATATTGAATATTTTCTGAGAGTTTGCAGAACCAGATTTCTAGGGACTTATTTTCTTTTCCAATGGCCTTGAGCACCCAAAGAGCCTCTTCATCTCGTACTTCAGCTGAATGGGCTCCTCCACATTGGAAGCATGATGTGTTTTTGAGTTTCAGGGGTGAAGACACTCGCAGCGGTTTTCTATCCCATTTATACCATGAACTGCAGTATTGGCAAGCAATTAAAACTTTCAAGGACGACCGAGACCTTGAAATAGGAGCAAGTATTTCTCCGGAGTTGTTGACCGCAATCGAACAATCACATCTTGCCATCATTGTTCTCTCCCCAAATTACGCTTCTTCCACCTGGTGCTTGGATGAACTTTCCAGGATTCTTGAATGCATGCAAGACACCTTGAGAATTCTGCCAATCTTTTATCACGTGGATCCTTCTGATGTACGAAACCAAAGGGGTAGTTTTGCGGAAGCCTTCACTAAGCATGAAGAAAAGTTCAGTGAAGATGTAGACAAGGTGAAGCGGTGGAGAGATGCTTTAAAAGAAGTTGCCAATCTCTCTGGGTTGGATTCAAAGAATTATCAGTAAGCATGCATGGATCAACAACTTGCTTGTTTCTTACTAGAGCTCTACTTGGATGTTACGTTTCAGTTCTTGCCATAATCAATAGCCTTGCATGTTATATTTATGAATTAATGGTTATTTTAATTTTCTTCCTTGTAGGTCGGAAGCAGAGCTTATTAAACACATTGCCAAATGTGTGTTTAGGAAAGTGCATCCAATGTTCATGTTGTCAGGTTCTCTAGACAAGTTAGTCGGAATTGATTTTGCCCTTGAGCAACTACGTTTGCAATTAGACCTCGAGGCAAATGACGTTCGCTTTATAGGGATATGGGGGATGGGTGGGTTAGGCAAAACAACCCTTGCTAACCTAGTTTTTGAAAGAATTTCCCATAATTTTGAACTTAGCTCGTTTCTATCTAATGTGAGAGAGGTTTCTGCAAAACATGGTACTCTAGTTGATCTACAAAAACAACTTCTTTCCCCAATCTTAAAGGAAAATATTATCCAAGTTACGGATGAATGGTCAGGAATCTCTTTCACTAAAAAATGTTTATGCAATAAAAAGGTTCTTATTGTCCTTGATGATGTGGATCAATTAAAACAACTTGAAACACTGGTTGGAGAGAAAAAATGGTTTCGTTCAGGGAGTAGAATTGTCATCACAACTAGAAATGAACGTCTACTAGTTGAACATGGTATAACGATACAATGTGAGGTCAAGGTATTAAATGATGATGAAGCTCTTGAGCTCTTCAGTCAAAAGGCCTTTAAGAAAAGTCAGCCAGATGAAGGTTTCCTGGAATTGTCTAAGCGTTTCCTAAATTATGCGAAAGGCCTTCCATTAGCTCTTAAAACTTTGGGGAGTTCTTTGTATAGGAGAGATCAAGATACATGGAAAAGTGTGTTGTATAATCTAAAGAAAATTCATTATCCCGACATTTTTTCTTCACTCAAAGTAATTTATGACGGACTAGAAGAGTGGGAGAAGAAATTTTTTCTCCATGTTGCATGTTTCCATAAAGGGGAGTATAAAGAGAAAGTAATTCGCATACTTGACAAGAACCATGACATTTCTAGTCGTGCTGTAATAGATATTCTTATTGAGAAATCTCTCTTAACTATTGTGAAAATCCACTACATTGATGACGCTGTTGATATGCATGATCTGGTACAAGAAATGGCATGGAAAATTGTGAATGGAGTTTGACTTGACCAAAAAAAAAAAAAAAAATCTCTCTTAACTATTGAGAAAATCCACTCTCGTATCGACACTGTTGAGATGCATGATTTGATACAAGAAATGGCATGGGAAATTGTTCGTCAAGAGTCTATCCAAGAGCCTGGTCAACGCAGTCGTTTGTGGCTTCGCGATGATATCTCTCATGTAATCATGAACAATACGGTAAGAAATTATATAGAAATATTATGTTTGGAAGAAAATATATGTCATTTCTTTTAAAACGATATTAAACTTGAATGTGCAATTTCCTTTTCATTTTTTTATTAATTATTAGGGAACCGAAGCAATGGAAGCCATTGGCTTGCATTTGCCGAAATTAGAAGAGGTGCATTGGAATTGTACTGAAGCCTTCTCTAAGATGCACGGATTAAGGCTTCTTGAATTTGATAATGTGATCATTTCTTCAGCCCCCAAATATCTTCCAAATTCCTTAAGAACTATCAGTTGGAGTTGGCACCCTTCTAAATCACTCCCGTCAAGTTTCGAACCACGTTTCCTTGTTGAACTAAAGATGCGTCATAGCAAACTTGTCCAGCTTTGGGATGGAGCAAAGGTGAGAGATTGTTGAAATATGGCGTTTTAGAATTCTTTTATATATAAATAATTCAGATATAATTGTAACTTGTTCAACTAAGGGTTTTATTTCTTTATTTATTTTTAATTTTACAATTTTTATATACTATACAGGTCTTGCCAAACTTGAAATACATCGACCTTAGTTACTCTAATCAATTGACAAGTACCCCAGATTTCACAGGCATTCTAAATCTTGAGATTCTGCGTCTAGAACATTGTTCGAATTTAGTTGAGGTTCACTCATCTTTTGCAGTTCACAAAAAGCTGAAAAGTTTGAAACTTGAGGGTTGTACAAGTGAGGTGGAAATGAATTCTCTTCAATCCTTTGATCTTTCTTGGTGCTCAGAAGTGAAAAGGATTCCAGAATTTGTTGGACAGATGAATAATTTGTCATATCTTTCTTTAGATGGGACTGCTATTGAGGAAATACCTTCATCAATTGAACGCCTTGTCGGCCTTGTTAGACTGATTATAAGTAATTGTAAAAGTCTCTTGAGTCTCCCGAGTGGGATAAGCAATTTGAAGTGTCTTAAGGATCTGGTTATGGAGGGATGCACAAAAATTGACAAAATTCTAGGGGAGATGGTGTTGTCTTCTCTAAATCGTTTAGAGTCTTTGGATTTGGGTAATTGTAATATTGGTGAAGGAATCATCCGTGATGATATTGGCCTCTTGTCTTCTTTAGTAGAGTTGATTCTTAGTGGAAACAATTTCGTTAGCCTTCCCTCAAGCATTAGATTCCTTTCTAAGCTGAAGTTTCTTATGTTGGAGGGGTGCGAAAGGCTTGAGCAATTGCCAGATCTTCCTCCATTCAGATCCACCTTTTTACATGTAAGTGTAAACAATTGTACTTCTTTAACAAGGTTGTCAGATCCATCAAGGTTGAGCGGAGGAGCCAATGTGTATGATTTTGATTTCACTTGTCTTAATTGCTTCAAATTGGTTGAAGATGAAGGCTGGATTAATAGAATATTTGCAATGATACTGAGAGCGTACTTTCTGGTATTTACTCTCGGGAATAAATATTTCCTTTCAAATGGTATTGTATACCCTGGAAGTGAAATTCCAGAGTGGTTCAGTAATCGAAGTGTGGGAGATTCAATAACTGTGGAGCTGCCTCTGCCTCCACAACCACGAAGCGACTGGGTTGGGATTGCTTTATGTGTTGTTTTTCATGATTCTGAATATTTGGATAATCCAGACGCCCTTGATGAATATGAATATTTCTACATTCAATCATCTCTGAAAGATGTTAATGGGTGTGAATGGTTTGGAATCGGGAGTCTTGAGTCAGAACACCTTTGGGTTTTTTTTTTGCTTCGCGATCATCCCAGCCTCACGGATGCCTCAAGCAGTCAGCGGGTTTCGTTCGAAACGCATTATTCTCCATTTACAAGTGATTTGGAAGAACTCAAAACAAGCTCGAATATAAAGGAATGTGGGGCCCGTTTGGTGTACGAGAGAGATTTGGAAGAATTTAGCCGAATACTGAAAGTCCCAAACCCAGCACTGCGTGCATACGATGACGAGGATGACGATGATGAACCAGGAATTGGTAGCTCTGATGATGACGATGAACCAGTCTGCAAAAGATTGAAGAAAGTCTAAATTATTTTGTGCTTGGTGCAATCAGTCAATGAGGTCTCTAAATAATACTTGAAAAGCTAATGACGATGATGGTCAATCCTCAGAATTCATCTCAGTAAGTGACCTTTTTTATCATTTTTCTTTTTAGCTACTGTTTAATTTGCTCTGAAACTTGTCAATCTGACTGACGGAAGGACACTATCTATCTATCATGGTTTAATAATACTTGTCACTCATCTAGTTTCAAATTTGACGAAAAGCAAGGGATGCATTGGTGGCATTCACAAAGTTTCAAATTTGATTGCATCATATTTAGTTCTTATATTAGGTAGGAGGAGAGAGAGTAATTCTCTTGTTACATTTTGTTTGTATAGTTTGCAGGATATGCTGTGATTTTGTGTTCCTCTAATTTTGTGCTATTTCAATTGCTGTGTCAGGTTTTATTGTTTTCACCAATTGCTGTGTCAGATAATGTACTGAAAACGGACAAGTAAGGTGTCTGTATTCCATGAAAATGCACAATCTGAATGAACATTTGCAGATGTTGCCCAACTGAAGCATTTAGAACTGCACACTACTGAGTGAACATCAGGTTTTATTGGAAACTCAGGAGGTATCTTGTTGTGCTTAAATAAAATGGTTTCTGCATACTGTTAATGTTGTGCTCTAAGAAAATAATCTTATTAAGTAGTTTTGTCTGAAAATGGATTAAGCCTGCATACAGCTACTTTTATCAATGTGTTAATTAAAAATGATAATTTCTCCTATGTTGCAAACAGAAAACAACAGAACGAATCCTAAAATGTATATATGCTATAGATTTACAAAAGTAACTTGTGCTTTGCTTCCAGGACTTCATTTTTCCCTAAATTGTTTGCCCTTTTTCTATGTTTGAGATATTTTCTGAGTGGATATGACTTGGATTAACTTGTTCATTTCAATGTGTTAGAATATTTACTTCCTATAGGCCTCAAGTACAAGAACATTTTCAGAGCAACCTTTCAATGCTGTGCTATCAAACTTTTGCTATAGTGAAATAATGTGTGGAAAATGTTAGTATAGTTCTGAGTCTTCTGACCATAGTTACCCAAATCGCTCACCCCCCTTACGAATTTCGAACTGGATCGCACATACCGAATCATGGTACATTAGCGTTCAGAATGATGCATTTAGCTAACCAACACTCATAAGGATTAGAACAATACATGAGCTACCTTGCTGCCCAAACTCGATTGGTTGTTCCAATCATCAACTTAATAGGGTGGTGGGACAGCGATAGAGGGAGCCATGAAAAGAGAGAACCATGGAGAGAAAGCAATGGAAAGAGAGAGACATGGAAGTAGAGAACAATGTGTTAGAATATTTAGGCCTCAAGTAAATGAACATTTTCAGAGCAACCGTTCAATGCTGTGCTACCAAACTGTTGCTATAGTGAATTAATGTGTGCAAAATGTTAGTATTGTTCTGGGTCTTCTGACCAAAAGAAAAAAAAGGAGAAAATAGTTAATAATGACGAAAGAATGTGTGTGAAAAATCTAGGAGAAAAGGATGAAAGAATAAGAGGGAGAGAGAATTGTAATTATTGTACGTATATTTCCTATGTTCCACTATATTGAAATGAGTATAGTATTTCCTATTATATACAGCTTCGGTAGATTTCTCTAGAGCTAAGGTTATTTACAAGGAATATGGAGATATGGACAAGTGTAGGCCTGCTATTGAATCAGCCGTTTTCCTTAGAGTTTCTAAAGGAATGTGAGTGAAGGAAATTTGCTGCATTATTTTGCTTGCTCATTGCTGCTTTACGATTATAGCTGCTTTTGGATTTTGCAGCAGGCGTGTAAATTTGCATCTTTGCTGTTATTTAAATTGATTTCGATAGAAAATCAGGAAAGGAAAGGAGAGGTGGTTGGTTCATGACGGAAGAGAGAATAACAGAGAAGGAGCGGCAAAAGGAAATGTGAGTTTTAGCTTTACAACAAAATTAGCAGAAGTGGAGCAATTAACATAAATAAATTTTGAAAGGTGCTGGACATAGCCTAATGTGGTTAAGTAAAATCAGCTTATTTTCGTTGCTAATTGCTTATGTTGTATCTTTTATAATGATTTTCCTTTCTTAATTTCATTTCAGTTCGCTTGGAAAAACAGTTGGCATTATTGGCTTGGGAAGAATTGGCAAAGCCAGAGTTGAAGTACTAGGAATACTATCTAAGTTCCATGGAGTTAGTTGGTTGTGTGAACTCTGATCACTTCTGAGGAAACCAATGACATTGTCGATTTTTAAGTCACTGATGCTTGCTTTCCAAAGGGTATTCTCGTTAACATTGGAAGAGGCCTTAATGTTGATGAACCTGAGTCTCTGCGCTGCTGGATGGTTTCTGCTGAAATGGTTAGTAACTGAAGCATTTAGAACATGGTTGGTAACTTGGGAGGTATCTTATTCTGCTTAAATGGTTTCTGCTGTAGGTTCAAGTCCACTCCACATGCTGTATATGTTTGATATAGTTGGGCAGGTCATCCCCAAATTTTTGATTTTCTTTAACTTCAAGTTGTGCTACTTCAACCAATGTGTTAATTAACATGGATAGTTTCTCAAGTCTCCTATGTTGCTAACAGAAAACAGCATATCCGTTTTCCTTTTGCACTTACTTCTTTTGTTGTTTTCCTTAATTGTTTGTCCTTCTACTACGTTCGAGATATATTCTGGGTGGATGGTCCGTGCTTAGGACTTGGATTAACTTGTATAGGCCTCGAGTAAAATAACTATTGCTATAGTGAAATAATGTGTCAAAAATGTTAGTATAGTTCTGAGACTTCCGACCTCTATATAATGTGTCAAATATGTTGCTAACAGAAAACAGCATATCCTTTTTCCTTCTACAAGTGACAAACGTGTTGGAAATAATATAAAATTACGTGGATTTTTGTGTGGATCAATATGCTTGATCCTTAAATTACTAAGTTTAAGAAAGTTGGGAACTAGCTTGGAAGTTTATAATTACGTTTGCACCAGATCACTCTGCCTTGAAATTTCATTTCACTTGGGTCTTGGTCATTTTACTTGGGCAGTATATTACACGTTTTTCCTTTTGACCTTTATGATCATCGGACGTGTTCAGCTCTTTCTTGGGGATTCCCTCGTTTCTTCTTCCGTGTATTTTGGCCCTGTTTTTGTGGAAATTGTTTTGGCACCACCAGTGTACAGCACAACAATGTTTCATCATTGATTGTTTGTTTGTATTGATTCCTTCTTATTAATGAAAAATGTATTAATAATCTTTAAAAAGGTGAAGCATCCCCCCCAAAATAAAAAATAAAAAAAACCTGTTTTGAGGGTTTTTTTGTGAAGCTCCCTGCTAGACCCTAACTATAACTCCAACACGCTTTTATTTTTTGTACACATACAAGTATTAAAGCAACTATACAATATAATAGTCTAAACAAATAATTTAACATTATAATATCTTCTAGAGTTGAAATCGCTTCATCAAAATAACCTTTAAAGTGTAAAGTATCTTTGAAATTTATTATTCGCGTATAATACGGGTTGATCTTTGTATGCCTTTTAGTTTATGAATGAAACCTTATTCTTAAAAAAGTAAACATGCCATAAGATGGTATTTAATTCCCACCAACATACAAGACAAATTGACAAGACTGTTTCGTAGCTTCCAAAGCGCAGCACCAAGCAGAAAATTACCGAGATATAATTAAGAAAAAGTAATAAATATTTAACGTATAATAAAAAATGAAAATTACATAATTTTGTACACATTGTCGAACAAAACAAATTATTCCATATCTATAAATTATCTTACAAGTTACAATGACAAATAACCAAAATTATATAACTAGAATACAAGACACCTACTTCCACTCATCGTGCAATACATGACAATGACATGATTGAAAATTCAAATCCCACCTCAGGCCCCGTCATTTCTACAATTTCCACATCACACCCTGCATAAAAAAACAAAAACAAAAAACAAAACCATTAAAAAATAAATCATCACCCTCCATATGGAGATAAATTTAAGAAATGAATCTGCTTACTGTTGGAACTCAATATTGATTGATTTAGCCGTTGAATCTGACGATGTCTCCAGTGTGGTCAAAAAAGAAATAATTCACTCTCTCTCTCTCTCTCTCTCCCATTATTTGGTTTCTACAGCCCCCTGTCTTTCATCTGAACTTTCCTGAATTAACTTGGGTCAGCAAACATGGGCAAGACCCTCCGAACTCGGATTACTTGGATTTTGCAAAGGAGAGATGCACGGCTTTGATTTTTTTATTTTATAAAGAAAGATTAATTAGATGAAAAGTTCATTTCATTATTGTGCAAAAACATAGAAACAGGAAAACCAAATAGCCAATTTAAGTTTTGATCATTTCTTAATTTGCAAATCCCAGTTATGTCTTCAATCCAAAGTTGCTCAAAGCTCAACTGAGCTCACCAGCAACACCATTAAACATGGCCTAACTCACAAATTAATCCCTATTAACTAACTACACAATTGCGTGTGTAAATGTTGTCACATCAAAACTGGAAAAAGCAAAACAAAAAACTGGATTTTCTCATAAATAAAAAGTTGGGAACTGGCTTGGAATTTTATAAGTACACCTTGGCACCCGATCACTTTGTTGAGAAAGGAAGTTTCCTTGAAATTTCCTTTCACATTTTTGATGGAAAACATTTGTCATTTCACTTTTGTAGTACATTGGCTCTACCAGACCCACATAAAAAAGTAGAAAGCGTGTTCACTACCTCTCTCTGTTTTTTCTTTTGGTGGGTTTTTGGTTGGATTGGTTCTTGTGGTTGTTTTCTTGCCAATTCTCTGGCTTTGTGATTTGTTAATTTGTTGTTCTGCTGAGCTATTGTTCCAGTTGGTGTGTTTCCCTTTCATTGATCTCGAGTTTGTTTTGCTGGGTATTTGCTTTCTGCCCTTCTTCTCTTCTGCTTAATACGTTTTCAATTACCAAAATAAAAATTAAATCTGCCATTTTTTTTTTCATAGATCATTTTCTCTTTACGTATTTACTGAGTGTTTGCAGAACCAGATTTCCAGGAACTGTTTTTCTCCCATGGCCTTGAGCACCCACAGAGCTTCTACATCTCGTACTTCAGCTGAATGGGCTCCTCCTCGATGGAAGCATGATGTTTTTCTGAGTTTCAGGGGCGAAGACACTCGCAAGGGTTTTATCTCTCATTTAGACCATGCATTGGCCTACTGGCAAGCAATGAGAACTTTCAAGGACGATCGAGAACTTGAAGTAGGAGCAACTATTTCTCTGGAGCTGTTGATCGCAATCAAAGAATCGTATCTTGCCATCATTGTTCTCTCCCCAAATTACGCTTCTTCCACTTGGTGCTTGGATGAACTCTCAAAGATTCTTGAATGCATGGAAGACACCAAGAGAATTCTGCCAATCTTTTATGACGTGGATCCTTCCCATGTACGAAACCAAAAGGGGAGTTTTGCGGAAGCTTTCACTAAGCATGAAGAAAGGTTTAGTGGAGATGCAGAGAAGCTGAATCGGTGGAGAGCCGCTTTAAGAAATGTTGCCAATCTCGCTGGCTTAGATTCAAAAAATTATAAGTAAGCATGCATCCATGAAAAACTTGTGTGTGTCTTAACAAGAGCCCTACTTGGATGTTACATTTCAATTCTTCCTTCAATACAACAAACAACCTTGGATGTTATATTTATGGATTAATGGTTATTTTTAATACTTTGTAGGTCAGAAGCAGAGCTTGTCGATGACATTGTCAAACGTGTGCGGAAGAAAGTGAATCTTACATCCACGTTGTTAGATTCTGAAGAGAAGTTAGTCGGAATTGATTCTGCACTTGATCAACTACGCTTGCATTTAGCTCCCGAAGAAAATGATGTCCGCTTTATAGGGATATGGGGGATGGGCGGGGTAGGCAAAACAACCCTTGCTAAATTAGTTTTTGAGAGAATTTCCCATCATTTCGAGCATCGCTCTTTTCTACCTAATGTGAGAAAGGGAGAGGTTTCTGGTCTAGGAAGACAGCTGCTTTCCTCAATCTTGAAGGAAAATTATATCCCAGGTTGGGATGAAGGGGAGGGAATCCTTAAGAACTGTTTATTGAATAAAAAGGTTCTTCTCGTGCTTGATGATGTGGATCAACTAAACCAACTAGAAAAATTGGTTGGAAACAAAAATTGGTTCGGTGCGGGGAGTAGAATTATCATCACAACTAGAGATAAACGTCTACTTGTTCAGCATGGTACAACAACGTATAAGGTCGAGGTCTTAAAGAATGATGAAGCTCTTAAGCTCTTTAGTCGACATGCCTTTAAGAAAGATCAGCCTGAGGAAGGTTTTCAGGAACTGTCTCAGCATTTCCTAAATTATGCCAACGGCCTTCCATTAGCTCTTAAAATTTTGGGGCTTGCTTTGTATGGGATAGATCAAGATATGTGGGAGAGTGCGTTGGATAATCTAAACAAAATTCCTAATCCAACAATTTTTCATTCACTCAAAGTAAGTTATGATGGACTAGAAGAGATGGAGAAGAAAATTTTTCTGCATGTTGCGTGTCTCCATAGAGGGAAGAATAAAGAGCAAGTAATTCAAATACTAGACTGGAGCCTTGGCATTTCCAGTCTTATTAAGATAGATATTCTTATTAAGAAATCTCTCTTAACTATTGACGAACGCTTTCATAGAAACAATGTTGAGATGCATGATTTGATACAAGAAATGGCATGGACAATTGTTCGTGAAGAGTCTCCCGAGCCTGGTAAATGGAGTATTTTATGCTGTCACGAGGACATTTCTCGTGTATTGATGAACAATACGGTAAGAAGTTATTTAGAGATACTATATATACTTGGACCAAAACATGTGCCATTTTTCAAATGAGAAGTTGTTTAGAGATATTAGACTTTAATGAGATGAGATGAATTAACTTTTTCCTTTTTCTTAATTATATATATTAGGGAACGGGAGCAATTGAAGCCATAGTCCTACGTCTACCCAAATTTGAAGCAGTGCCCTGGAATTGTACTAAAGCCTTCAATAAGATGCACGGGTTAAGGCTCCTTGACTTTGATAATGTGGTGTTTTCTTCATGCCCTAAATTTCTTCCAAATTCCTTAAGAATTATCCATTGGAGCTGGTATCCTTCCAAATCGCTCCCATCAGGTTTCGAACCACATTTGCTTTTTGAACTGAAAATGAGGCATAGCAAACTTGTCCAGCTTTGGGATGGAGCACAGGTAAGATTCTTGAAATACGGCATTTTGTAATGTTTTTTTAATTATAATTATATTGAGTATGATTGTATTGTACCTTGTTTTAACTTGAAAGGTTTTTTGAAACTTATAATTCTACAACTTTTATGTACTGGCAGGATTTTCCGAATTTGAAATATATGCATCTTGGGTGGTCTAAAAATTTGACCAGTATCCCAGATTTTACACGCATTCCAAATCTTGAGGAATTGCATCTGTTTGGTTGTAAGAAATTAGGCGAGGTTCACCCGTCTATTGCAGTTCACAAAAAGCTGAAGGTTTTAACTCTTACTTCTTGTATAAGTATCAAGAGTCTCCCAAGTAAGTTGGAAATGGATTCTCTTGAATTCTTTAGTCTTTGGGGCTGCTCAAAAGTGAAAAAGATACCAGAATTTGGGGAACATATGCAGAACCTGTCAAAGCTTTTTCTATATGAGACTGCTATCGAGCAAATACCTTCATCAATTGAACATCTAGTTGGCCTTGCTAAATTGGATGTAAGTGATTGCAAAAGACTCTTGGGTCTGCCGAGTGCGATATGCAATTTGAAGTCTCTTAAAATCCTCTTGGGGGGTCGATGCTCTAAACTTGACAAACTGCCAGGGGACATGGAGTCTTTAGAGGAACTTTATTTAAGTGGAAGTGCAATGAGAGAGCCGCTTGTTGCTATGAAAAATCTCAAAAATCTATCCCTTCGTGGACCAGTTGATTCAAGGGATGGCATTTGGTGTGGCCTTGACTGCTTACTTGGAATTAGGAAGAGTGTTGACCCTGACCCTTGGCGTTTGGTGTTGTCTTCTCTAACTCATTCAGGGTCTTTGACTAAATTAGATCTGAATGATTGTAATATTGGTGAAGGAGCCATTCCAGATGATATCGGCTGCTTGTCTTCTTTAAAAGAGTTGAAGCTTAGTGGAAACAATTTCGTTAGCCTTCCCTCAAGCATTAGATTCCTTTCTGAGCTTGTGTATCTTGAATTGGAGAGGTGCAAAAGGCTTGAGCGATTGCCAGATCTTCCGTCAAGTAAATACTTATTCGTAAATGTGAACGACTGTACTTCCTTAAATGGGTTGTCAGATCCATCAAAGTTGAGCGAAGGAGCCAATGTGTATGATTTGAAGTTCAGTTGTGTTAATTGCTTCAGATTGGTTGAAGAAGGAGGCTGGATCTGGATTAATAGAATATTTGCAATGATATTGACAATGGCCACCTGTCCTGATAACAGTTTTTTTGGGCCTTCTCATACACACCGTTTTGCATGGCTTTCTTGTACACACCGTTTTGTATGGCCTGGAAGTGAAATTCCAGAGTGGTTCGATAATCGACGTGTGGGAGATTCAATAATTGTGGAGCTGCCTCTACCTCCACAAACATGCAGTGACTGGGTTGGGATTGCTTTGTGTATTGTTTTTGAAGATTCTGAAACATGCAGTGAGTATGATTATTTAGAAATTTACACATCACCTATGCGTTCAATGGATTGGACACCTATGGGTTCAATGGATTGGCCTAAGTTTAAAGTCGGGCATCTTGGGTCACAACACCTTTGGGTTTTCTATTTGCCTCGCGATAAATCCAGGCTCAAGGACGCCTCTGGCAATCATCGGTTTTCATTCAAAGGGCAGTATCATATGTCTTCAGCCACATCTTGTTGGTCACACAAATCTTGGAAAGCACCACGCAAAGTACGCTCGATTATAAAGAAATGTGGGGCCCGTTTGGTGTACCAGAGAGATTTGGAAGAATTCAGCCGAATTCTGAAAATCCCGAAGCCAGCAGCACTACAGGCATCCGATGACGAGGAGGCAGGTCCAATTGGTAGTAGCGGAAGTGGTAGCTCTGATGACCATGATGAACCATGAATTTGGTTGCTCTAATGACGAGGATGAACAAGGAATTGGTAGCTATGAAAATGAACCAGGAAGTTATAGCTCTGATGAAGACGATGAACCAATCAGCAAAAGATTCAACAAAGTCTAAATTATTTTGTCCTTGGTTCAATCATTCAGTGGGTCTCAATATAATACTTGAAAGGCTAATGACGTTGGTCAATTCTCCGAATTCACCTCAGTAATTGTTAGGACCAATTTTTGGTATATTGGCAATTTCCTATTACAAAAACATAGAGTAGGTCTTTGAGTGTAACTTCCAGTTTCAAGTGACGTTCTGCTATCCTGGATCCACCCTCAAATTGGCGATAGTTGCTGCCACATGGGCAGCTTTGTTGGCGGTGCGGGGAATCCATGTCCAATGAATGGATGAGAACCAAGACACCAACCTACGAATAGCTTGAATAAAGGGGTAGATCTTCCAAGGGATTGCCCTTTTTCTGTCTCTAAGAGACTGGACAACTACTTGAGAGTCACATTCAAGAACCACATCGTGATGACCCTGCTCCTTAGCAAGATGAAGACCACTAAGAACAGCCTCCGCTTCAGCCTCAATAGGGGCAGATCGCACGTTGATTCTTGATTCACCACCAAGTAAATCACCATTAGAGTTCCTAATGACACAGCCAACACCAGCAAGACCAGTGGCTGCATTCCACGCACCATCAACATTAACCTTAACCTTATCGCTGGGAGGAGGTCTCCAAACGGGGGTGGCTTCGGGATTAAAGGCGTTCCTCAACTCCATGGAGCTGCTGTCGGCCTCACCAATACACATCTCATGTAGACTGCTACAGCACTTTCGCAGCACAACCTCAGGGATTGGGTTCCGATTTTCAAAAACAGCGGAGCAACGCTCTTTCCAAATTTCCCACCAAAGAATACCCACAGTTCCCACAACCCTCATCATGGTAGCTTTGTCGCTTAAAAGTGATGAAGATAGACCATAAAGCCACACATCCAGCGTTGAAATTTGTTGAGCATTTGGTCTGTAGTTCAGAGGGGACCCCAACCAGACACAGTGGACCCAGGGGCACAACAGAAGCATGTGCTCAGGAGTTTCTTCAAATTGACCGCAAATGGAGCAGAGAGGTCTTGTGGTGATCTTTCGTTTGAAAAGATTAAGGGTTGTTGGAAGTGCATTCGAAATTGCTCTCCACATGAAATTTTTTATTTTCGGAACCACCTTCAAGCTCCATAAAACCTTCCAGGTGCCCTTATCAACTTGGTGAGAGGAGTTACCCGGTAACAACCTCATGGCATTTTTTTTGGCTATCGCCCAGAAATAACCACTCTTAACAGTGAGAGTACCACGTATGTCCCACGGCCATACCAGCCTATCGTCTTCTTCAGGATTGCATAAAGGTATTGCCCTGATCAGAGACAAATCCCGCGGGTGGACCAACTGTTGAATAGGATCAAGATTCCAAACATTTGCCTCTCTATCAATCAGACCATTTACTGTTGTTGGAACGGCACCCATAATCGCTTGAGTAGGTGATGGCTTAGTTACTTGGTCGCACGGTAGCCAATTGTCTTTCCAGATGTCAACTTTGGTTCCATTTCCAACTTGCCACCTTGCACCATCTAGCATGATTTTTCTTCCCTCTAGTAAGCTAGACCAGATCCAAGATGGTCGGGACCCTCGCTGGGCATGTGCAAAATCCGCATTAGGAAAATATCGTGCTTTCAGTAACCTGGCCCAAAAGGCATGCGGATTAGACCAAAGCCTCCAGCATTGTTTGGCTAATAACGCTTGGTTAAAAACCTCTAAGTCTCTAAACCCCATGCCTCCACCACTCTTTGCCTGGCACAGACCTTCCCAATTTTTCCAATGAACCTTCCTACCTTCATCAGTTGCTCCCCACCAGAAGCGACTTATCTCTGAGTTGATTGCTTTGCACATGGTGCTGGGGAACTTGAAGCACGACATTGGGTACGTAGGGACAGCCATGGCAACCGCCTTGATCAAAACTTCACGACCCGCCATAGTTAGAGCCTTAGCTTTCCAGCCTTGGATCTTCTTCAAAATTCTCTCAAGGACATACTGCAGAGCCAATTTTTTTGATCTTCCCCACATAGTTGGGAGCCCAAGATAGTTCCCCGGGTTGTTTGACATTGGCACCTTCAAAATTGCAGACACCTCGTTTCTCACAATAAACGGGGTATTTGGGCTCATGAAGATCATAGATTTTTCAAAGTTTATTCGCTGACCAGAGGCAAGGCAGTAACCCTCTAGCAATCTGTTTAGAGCTCTACAATTACCCTTGCTTGCTTTGAGGAAAAATAAGGAGTCGTCCGCAAAGAAAATGTGGGATAGGGTGGGTCCCCCACGACACAGCTTGATGCCCTGCAAAACACCCAGGTCGATAGCGCAAGACAGATTTAAGGACAAGATTTCACTTACCACAATAAAAAGATAAGGCGAGAGAGGGTCTCCTTGTCTTAACCCACGATGAGGCTTGAAATAACGCCCAGACTTTCCATTAACCATCACAGAGAAAGAGACAGTTGTGACGCAGCTCATGATAAGATTTATCCAAGCCCGATCAAAACCAATCCTAACCATCGCTTCCTCAAGAAAATCCCACTCCACTCTGTCATAGGCTTTGTTCATGTCCAGCTTCAGCCCCATTTCGAACACTTTCCCTTTCTTTTTTAGTTTAAGGTAGTGAAAGGCCTCATGAGCCACAATAAGATTATCGTGGACTTGTCTATCTGGCACAAAGGCATTTTGGTGGTGAGATATGATGTGGGGAAGAATCAGTTTGAGCCGATTGGCAAGGATTTTTGCAAGGATCTTGTACGAGTTATTGCATAGGCTTATGGGGCGAAACTGGGTGGCATTCTCTGGACATGGCACCTTTGGTATAAGAGCAATATGAGTAGCGTTAATTTTCCACATTTCCTCTCCCCACAGGCCCATACCGGTAGCAGCATCATTGACAACTCCGTTTACGTGCTCCCAGTATTTTTGGTAGAACATCCCCGGAAAACCGTCCGGCCCCGGAGCCTTTAGGGATCCCAATTGGAGCACAGCAGTTTTCACTTCCTCGTCTGACTGTATTAGGCCAAATGTTTCATCATTGATTGTTTGTTTATGTATTGATTTGTTCTTAATAATTAATTAGAGTTTTCTTTCTTTCTTTTTTTTGGTGAACAGAGTTTTCTTTCTTTCATGGTTTCATTAGTGAATTAAAGTTATTAAAAAAAAAGTATTATAAATCATTAAAAAGTAGAGAGCTTAAAAGGTCAAACATTAATAATAAAAAAATAAAAAATTACTGTTTTATATACAGTGTGGGTGGACTCCAATATGCCTTTTTTTTAATGCAAGTAGACAATTGAGATACATGAATTGTAATAGTCAAAACAAACAATTTAACTTTATAATGTCATCTGAATTTCTAGAGTTAGAAATCACTTCATCCAAATAAACCTTTTATAATATTTTTGAAATCTATTATTCACGTTTAATACGAATACTACGTTTCAAAGTATGGAGTTTGGTACACATTCATACTTTTCTTGGCCTCTCTCTCTCTCATATGAACTTTCGGGTGAATTGACTTGGGTAAGCAAACATAGACAAGACAGGACCCTCCCATGTCGGATTCCTTCGATTTTGCAATGTGACAATTCAATAAAATAAAAAAGGAGAGCTCAATGCTAAGCATCATTCTTTATTATGCATGCACTCGATCACGGTGTAACAAGAAAAGGAAATAATTTCGCTCATTACTTTAATTTAAGGATTATTCTTACCATCATTCTCAATACTTGACACATGTCTATTGACATAATCATTGTTAACTCTTTACTTTGTATTTATGGAACTATAGTTATGTCAATAGATAAGTGTCAAATATTGAGAATGATGATAAATGTACACTTCGGATTAAAGTGGTGAGCAAAAATGCTCTCAAAAGAAAAAGGTGAAGAAAAATAACACATCCCAAACCACAAAAGTTTTCCTTGAAATTTCCTCACTTTTTCGGTGGAAAACATTTGTCCTTTCACGTTTCCTTTTTTTTTTTTTTTCCTTCACCTTGACCCTTAAGCTCTTTCTTGAGGATTTCCTAATTTCTTCTTTAGTTTCTTCTCTGAATCTCTTTTCTGTGCAAATTGTTTTGGCGCCACATGTAAATTACCTTTTTCGCATTGAGAGTCTTGTGCTACGATGTTCATTAGAAAAAAGGAAAATCGTGGCTTTATCTTCGGAATGATAAACATTGGTAAAATAACAACGTTTTTTAAACCATATAAAACTAACGCATATAAATACCTTCTTATCCCCACCCTGTCACTCTTTTCGCACTTTCGGCCTTTCGCCCTTTCGCCCAACTCCCCCGAACTCAGCGCTCTCTCTCGTTCGCGCTCTCTGTCTCTCTCGTTCGCTCTCTCTGTCTCTCTCGTTCATTCGCTGGGTTTCTCTCTCTTATATCAGTTAACGGTAAGCATCCTCTTCCTTTGAACTTAGGGTTTATTCTTCTAAATTAAATTTAGGGTTTTTTCTGTTAAATTAGGCTTGTCGAATTGGGGGTTGAGGTTGATGATTCTTTCTGTTAAATTAGGCTCTGTTTTGATTTGGGAATTGAATTGAATTGATTAGGCTCTGTTTAATTTCTGTTAAATTAGGCTTGTGTCTAATTGAGCAAATACCTTCATCAATTGAACATCTAGTTGGCCTTGGTGAATTGCATATAAATTGTTGCAAAAGTCTCTTGGGTCCACCGAGTGTGATATGCAATTTGAAGTCTCTTAAAACCCTCTGGGGGCTAAGTTGCTCAAAACTTGACAAACTGCCAGGGGACATGGAGTCTTTAGAGGAACTTTATTAAGACGGAAGTGCTATGAGGGAGCTGCCGCTTGTTATGAAAAAGCTCAAACGTCTAAGCTTTGCTAAATCATCAACTTCAAGGGATGGCTTTGGCATTGGCATTGTGTGGGGCCTTGACTGTTTATTTGGAATTAGAAAGAGTCATCCTGACCCCTGGGGTTTGGTGTTGTCTTCTCTAAATCATTTATGCTCTTTGACTAGTTTAAACCTAAGAGATTGTAATATTGGTGAAGGTGTGATCCCCGATAATATCGGTCACTTATCTTCTTTAGAATATTTAACACTTCGTGGAAATAATTTCATTAGCCTTCCCGCGAGCATTACATTCCTTTCTAAGCTTAAGTCTCTGGACTTGAGGCAGTGCAAAAGGCTTGAGCAATTGCCAGATCATCCGTCAATGACATTATTTGTATATGTAGACGATTGTGACATTATTTGTATATGTAGATGATTGTACTGCCTTAAAAAGGTTGTCCGATCCATCTAAAGCTGAGTGAAGGAGCCAATGTGTATGATTTTGAGTTCACTTTTCTTAATTGCTTCAGATTGGTTGAAGAAGAAGGCTGGATTAATAGAATATTTGCAATGATAATGGTACATACCCTCTCTCGTTTTTGTTTGGATTAATAGAATATTTGCAATGATAAATACAATGACAATTCTTTTGCTATTCAATACAGATTCTTCTCCGTACCTTTATTGTATGGCCTGGAAGCGAAATTCCAGATTGGTTCGATAATCGAAGTGTGGGAGATTCAATAACTGTGGAGCTGCCTCTGCCTCTACCTCCACAATCATATCATGTAGCAGCGACTGGGCTGGGATTGCTTTATGTATTGTTTTTGAAGATTCTGAATATTTGCAAAATCCAGCCGCCCTTGTTGGATATTTTTTTTCAAAATTCAATGTTTGCGGGGTCCGTCTGAGACTTTTGAATTTGGGGATCTTAGGTCACAACACCTTTGGGTTTTTTCTTTGCATCCCGATCATCCCAGCTTCACAGATGCCTCAAGCAGTCATCTGTTTTCATTCGAAGCACATTATTGTGCATACAGATCTTCCAACACACTCAAAACAAGCTCGAATATAAAGAATGTGGGGCCCTTTTGGTGTACGAGAGAGAGATTTGAAAGAATTCAGCTGTTTGGTGTAAGGTGATGAGGCAGGCCCAATTGGTTGTAGTGGAAGTGGTAGCTCTGATGACGAAATTGAACCAGGAAGTGATAGCTCTGATGACAACCATGAACCTGGAATTGGTAGCTCTGATGACGACAATGAACCAGGAAGTGATAGCTCTGATGACAACCATGAACCTGGAATTGGTAGCTCTGATGACGACAATGAACCAGGAAGTGATAGCTCTGATGACAACCATGAACCTGGAATTGGTAGCTCTGATGACGACAATGAACCAGGAAGTGATAGCTCTGATGACAACCATGAACCTGGAATTGGTAGCTCTGATGACGACAATGAACCAGGAAGTGATAGCTCTGATGACAACCATGAACCTGGAATTGGTAGCTCTGATGACGACAATGAACCAGGAAGTGATAGCTCTGATGACAACCATGAACCTGGAATTGGTAGCTCTGATGACGACAATGAACCAGGAAGTGATAGCTCTGATGACAACCATGAACCTGGAATTGGTAGCTCTGATGACGACAATGAACCAGGAAGTGATAGCTCTGATGACAACCATGAACCTGGAATTGGTAGCTCTGATGACGACAATGAACCAGGAAGTGATAGCTCTGATGACAACGATGAACCAATCAGCAAAAGATTCAAGAAAGTCTAAATCATTTTGAGCTTGGTTCAATCATTCAATGAGGTAGTAGGAGAGCTGTTCTCTTATTACATTTTGGTTATATACTTGTCCAAAAAAAAAAACTTTTCCATTTTCAAATACATAAATGCAGGATATGCTATGATATTGTTGGGTTGTGAATCTTCTTAATTTCAACGTGTTAGAATACAGAGCTTGAGTAACAGAATCTTTTTCAACAATGCTAGTCTTTTCATAATTTTATATCACAATTCTAATCACCATATGCGGCGCCATCAAACTGTTTGATTTGATATAATTAATGAAAAAATGTATGAAAACTGTTGATGTTAAAAAACTAAAAGGCAATTAATCGTTTTAATCGTTTCATAAGTTTTTGTAAATAAGTTGTTCAATTAATGATGAGGAAAAACAAGCAATTGGTGGCATTCTCAAAGTTTTAAATTTGATTGTGTCATACTATCTCTGTTCATAGTTCTTATATTAGGTAGGAGGAGAGAGAGTAATTCTCTTGTTGCATCTTGTTTGTATAGTTTGCAGGATATGCTGTAATTTTGTGTTCCTCTATTTAAATTGTTCTGTCAGATTTTATTGTTTTCAGAATGAAATGGACCTAGTCACCTAGTGCTATTCTATAAACAGATAACTCCGATTAATGTAGTGAAAACAGACAAGTGAGCTGTCTGTAAGCCATGAAAATGCACACTCTAAATCAACATGTTTGGTAACTGAGGAGGTATCTTGTTGTGCTTAAATGGTTTCTGCTGTAGGTCCAAGTCCACATATTGTATATGTTTAATACAGTTTGTTGATCAGGTTATCCCCAAATTTGAGATTTGCTTTCACTATGAGGTCCATAACAATGAAGTTGCACAAAAATTGCTCTAAGAATATAATCTTTTGAAGTAGTTTTGTCTGAAAATGGACTAAGCCTGCGTGTGGCTACTTATACAAACAGAAAACAGTAGAACAAATCCCAAAGTATATATATGCTATAGATTTACAAAACAAACTTGCGCTCTGCTTCTAGGACTTCATTTTCCCTAAACTGTTTGTCCTTTTCCTGCTTTCGAGATATTTTCTGAGTGGATATGACTTGGATTAACCTGTAAATTTCAATGTGTTAGAATATTTACTTCCTATAGGCTTCGAGTAAAAGAACATTTTCAGAGCAACCTTTCAATGTTGTGCTATCAAACTGTTGCTTCCTATAGTGAAATAATGCGTGGAAATTGTTAATATAGTTCTGAATCTTCTGACCAAAAGAAGAAAGGGGAAAATGATTAATAATGACGAAAGAATGTGTGTGAAAAATCTAGGAGAAAGGATGAAAGAATAAGAGCCAGAGAGAGGAATACTGCTTCTGTAGATCTCTCTAGTGCTAAGGAATATGGAGATATGGACAAGTGTAGGCCTGATATTGAATCAGTCGATTTCCTTAGAGTTTCTAGAGTAATGTTGAGGTCTTATTATTGTGAGGTCAGCTCCATGCTTTCCTGTATGCTCTTGGTTCAGCTGACTATCAGTGTGAAGGTTAACAATGAGAATAGCTAGGCTAATGGCCAATACAAGAATAAATTATGTTTCTGTTTTAAACATACAGTTTAGAAATAAGATTTAACTTGGATGGTAATTACTTAGGACTTGGATTAACTTGTTAGTTTCAATGTGTTGGGATAATTACTTCCTATAGGCAGCGAGTAAAAGAACATTTTCAGAGCAACCTTTCAATGCCGTGCTATCAAACTGTTGCTAAATATTAACGCAACTACACAATTGAATTTGTTAAATATTCTAATTGCAAAACTGAACTAAAAGTCACAATAGCTCGAGCCGTTAAGAACATTTATTTATTTTTATAGTAAGCAATTATGTGTCCAATTCCCTCTGCATCAGTAAATACTAGACTGAAAGTTTATTTTTTTGATACGAACTAGACTGAAAGTTGATGACATAAATTTCTTAGGTTTCAGGGGGAAAAAAAAAGGCCAGGGACACAATCACTTTTGGTGAGAAGGAAGTTTCACTGAGGAGTCGGTGGAAAACATTAGTCCTTTCACTTTTTTGACTTAGGCCATCTCCAACCCAAATGGGGCTAAACCCAAATTTATCCCCTTCAAAATACAACTATTCATGTATTGCCCGGACTCAAATAGTGTTTTCCTCCAACCATGCAGACTCATAATTTGAGTCCGCAAGTTTATTAAATTGTTCAAAAAGAGTTAACTCCTAATTTTTTTTTCTTGTTAATTTTTCTTGACATTAATTTTGTTTCAACCTTCGCGAATTAATTTTCTGAAGATTTTAACCTAAAAAAATCCAAAATCCAAAATATAATTAATTTCACTTAAAAAAACAAATACAACATTTTATTTCATAGACTTTAATGAGGATTTATAGAGTTTGGGATGTGTTTTGGGGTTAGATTTGATTTATAATATTTGATTTATTTATTTTAGTTGTTGGATTTTAATTTTAACCATTGGATCATTTGTTTTTTGGTTGATCAAGTCACTTTTTAATCACAGCCGTTGGTTTAAACTAGCCATTACATTTGAAATAAATAAAAAATCAATTTGGCTGTTTGAATTGCAGCCATTAGATGGCAATGACTACAAACTCATCTTGCGCCATGTGTCAGCAACTTCCCAACAAGTAGCCTACATGGCTGGCCCACCTCCTCAATTTCTCTTGCTTTCCTTCACGTGCTGCAAGTTGCCTTCAGTTTGGGGCCCACAAAATTTTCCGCCCGGACTGGAAAGCTGGGCCAAATACCCCCCCAAAAACCAGTCTGCCCAAAATTCCCCCCCTCCCTATACATGCGTTGGGGATGAAAACATGCCAAAATTTGAGATTTTTTAGGTTTAGCCTCTTGCATTGGAGATGGCCTTAGGTGTTGATTCGAAAATCGTGGATTTGTTAAAACTATTTCTTTCCGGATTGTTTTCTTTTACTCCACACTTTGGTCACATCCATACTTTTTTTGGGTCAAAAAAGTAATAATTCACCCTCTGACGATGTCTCCAGTCTGGTCAAAAAAGAAATAATTCACTCTCTCTCTCCCGTACAGCCCCCTGTCTTTCATCTGAACTTTCCTGAATTAACTTGGATTACTTGGATTTTGCAATGTGAATGCAACTCTATTAGAAAGGAGAGATGCATGTTAAGCACCATTCTTAATTAGCATTGATGCTCGGCTTTGATATTTTTTTTTTTAAAATTTATAAAGAAAGATTAATTAGATGAAAAATTCATTTCATTATTGTGCAAAAACATAGAAACAGGAAAACCAAATAGCCAATTTAAGTTTTGATCATTTCTTAATTAGCAAATCCCAGTTATGTCTTCAATCCAAAGTTGCTCAAAGCTCAACTGAGCTCATCAGCAACACCATTAAATATGGCCTACGTCACAAATTAATCCCTATTAACTAACTACACAATTGCGTGTGTAAATCTTGTCATATCAAAACTGGAAAAAGCAAAACAAAAAACTGGATTTTCTCATAAATAAAAAGTTAAGAACTTGCTTGGAATTTTATAAGTACACCTTGGCACCCGATCCTTTCACATTTTTGATGGAAAACATTTGTCATTTCACTTTTGTAGTACATTGGCTCTACCAGACCCACATAAAAAAGTAGAAAGCGTGTTCACTACCTCTCTCTGTTTTTTCTTTTGGTGGGTTTTTGGTTGGATTGGTTCTTGTGGTTGTTTTCTTGCCAATTCTCTGGCTTTGTGATTTGTTAATTTGTTGTTCTGCTGAGCTATTGTTCGAGTTGGTGTGTTTCACTTTCATTGATCTCGAGTTTGTTTTGCTGGGTATTTGCTTTCTGCCCTTCTTCTCTTCTGCTTAATACGTTTTCAATTACCAAAAGAAAAATTAAAGCTGCCATTTTTTTTTTCGTAGATCATTTTCTCTTTACGTATTTACTGAGTGTTTGCAGAACCAGATTTCCAGGAACTGTTTTTCTCCCATGGCCTTGAGCACCCAAAGAGCTTCTACATCTCTTACTTCAGCTGAATGGGCTCCTTCTCGATGGAAACATGATGTTTTTCTGAGTTTCAGGGGCGAAGACACTCGCAGGGGTTTTATCTCTCATTTAGACCGTGCATTGGCCTACTGGCAAGCAATGAGAACTTTCAAGGACGATCGAGAACTTGAAGTAGGAGCAACTATTACTCTGGAGCTGTTGACCGCAATCAAAGAATCGTATCTTGCCATCATTGTTCTCTCCCCAAATTACGCTTCTTCCACTTGGTGCTTGAATGAACTCTCAGAGATTCTTGAATGCATGGAAGACACCAAGAGAATTCTGCCAATCTTTTATGACGTGGATCCTTCCGATGTACGAAACCAAAAGGGGAGTTTTGCGGAAGCTTTCACTAAGCATGAAGAAAGGTTTAGTGGAGATGCAGAGAAGCTGAATCGGTGGAGAGCCGCTTTAAGAAAAGTTGCCAATCTCACTGGCTTAGATTCAAAAAGTTATAAGTAAGCATCCGTCCATGAACAACTTGTGTGTGTCTTAACAAGAGCCCTACTTGGATGTTATATTTATGGATTAATGGTTATTTTTGATACTTTGTAGGTCAGAAGCAGAGCTTGTCGATGACATTGTCAAACGTGTGTGGAAGAAAGTGAATCCTACAGTCACGTTGTTAGATTCTCAAGAGAAGTTAGTCGGAATTGATTCTGCACTTGATCAACTACACTTGCATTTAGCTCCCGAAGAAAATGATGTCCGCTTTATAGGGATATGGGGGATTGGCGGGGTAGGCAAAACAACCCTTGCTAACCTAGTTTATGAGAGAATTTCCCATCATTTCGAGCATTGCTGTTTTCTACATAATGTGAGAAAGAAGGAGCTTTCTGATCTACAAAGACAACTTCTTTCCCCACTTTTGAAGGGAAATCATATTTGGGATGAAAGGGAGGGAACCGTTTTCATTAATAAAGTTTTAAGGAATAAAAAGGTTCTCCTCGTACTTGATGATGTGGATCAATTACACCAACTAGAAGTACTGGCTAGAGATAAAATTTTGTTTGGTGTAGGGAGAGGACCCATCACCTTGGATGGTTTTGCTCATGCTCTTTCACAGCTTCCCATACCAACAAGCTTTGATCGTCAAAAACACCAGTTTAATGACTCTGCCTCTTCTTCCATACCCTCCTTCCTCCATCATCAGTTTCTGCTGTGACCAACCAAGCAATGGTGCCAGTTGAGTTTGAGTTAATTAAACCTTGTGAAGGAGAAGAGAAGCTGATGGATTTGAACACCGCAGCTGAAATTCCAGAAGAAAAAGATAAATTAGCAAGGGAACCCTATTGTTGAAAAGGATAAGTTAGCAAAGAAGGTATTGGTTACTGTCCTAGCCTTTTTCCTGTTTGGATCTCTATCTTGACTCCAGTTTTACCCTTGTTAA